ATTTTCACAATAGACATTTATACACCATTGGATAGAGAATTTAAAGGGCTACATTTTGGACTATTTATTTTTTAAAACACTCGAAATCGACTTTTTGGCCTAATGTCCGCTTAGTTGCCCACTGTGATGGATAAACGTCCTACGAGCTGCTCTTTCCAATGGTGAAAACCGCAGGTCTCTAGGTCTTTTCGTTCCTGAGTTATAAGCGTTTTGTTCACTCATCTTATTTTCAGAAATATATAATAGACATAAATAACAGATATTGTATTGAAGAACAACACAACTCTAGATATCATTTGGATTTGTTTCATTTAACACGTTGTGTTTTCCTTCGGTCATTCGTAATATGCAATTTTTAATATCATATTGTTCTTTTTGTCCATGTAGTCTCCCATGATTAACACTTTATCTTCTTCACTTATTTCTTCATTTAATATAATCGGGTTAGCAATCGACTTTACTCCTTTGTCTCTTAATATAAATATAAATCTCAACTTCACCACATATATCTATCTTAGAATAACATTCTCAACAAATGAGCATTGTTTTTATGCAAAAAAAACTTTCTAAGACACTATCACTGATCATTAATCAAGTGCATCTGAGATACAGTAAAACAAGATATCGTCTTTTGCCTCTAGAAAGCGTTGTAGGCATTTTCTCAACCAGGGGCCTGTTTCTCAAAAAAACTTAAGTATAATTTCCTGTTCACTTAAGTGAAATTATTCACTTAAGTAAAACTTTAGTTTTTTCGAGAAACAGGCCGCATTTAAGTTGTTTTGAGAAACAGGCCCCTGCCACATAGATGCCATCTTCTAGAGCAACCCAAGCTCTATCAGACAGCACTAAAACATTTTTTTAATAACTCTTTTCTTGCGAAGATTCGATTCAAGTCTGAATCGAATATGAATAGAAGAAAAATGACTTACCGAATAAGCATACTCCTCAATGAAATAAAATCACTGTGTGCTTCATCTTCAACTGAAACGAGAAAAATGGACAAGTTACAAAAAGCCAGAATGTCATTCCAATGTTTGCAATGTTTCAGAATAAATGAGAATGTGGAAGTTTATACAAAGTAACCTTTGATCTTGAGAAAGTGAACAAACATTAGAAAGATGTTTTTTATTTTTATAGGAAAAAGTTCCATTCGCAGTTGTGGGAAGTAACATTATATTGGAACGAGGAAGTAAACGAGCGAGAGTTAGACAATACGCATGGGGAGTTGTAGATGGTCAGTGATAATAATTCATGAATGACATTTTGTGTTATTGTAACTTATCCATTTTCCTCATTTTAGTTGAAGATGAAGCACACAGTGATTTTATTGCATTGAGGAGTATGCTTATTCGGTAAGTTCGTTTTCTTCTATTCATATCTCTATTATCCGTTTTGTCTACGTGTTTTTTATAGAACAAATTTAAACGATTTGCGTGATGTTACTCATAATATTCACTATGAAAATTATCGTTATAAAAAGTTAAGTCATTCGACCAGTAGTAATACTACTGGTAGTGATTCAGCTAAAGCGGGATCAAATAAATCATTGCAATCGAATATGTTCACTGTTCAGACGTAGATAAAGTCTAAAACGTTTATTTTTTATAGGAATTTCGTATATAGTTATAGTCGTTCGCGAGGTTCATAGATTAGCGAAAGTGATATCAAAACTTTTCTTCGATTTGAGTCTAATCAATGAATGACAACCAAGTTAATTACTCATATACATTTAGAATCAAGTCACATTACGAAGACACTATTGTCATCGAGACAGCACATTGGCTTAAACCGAGAATAGACTCTAGTCTTTATTTATTGATATTTTCATTATGCAAAAAACTAGATTTCATTTAATTCAGATAGAAAAGTTGTAGAACAAACAAACAGAAAAGTGAGCAAAACTCTTGCATGTTATTATCTTGAATAAAACAGTTTTTTTGCTATAGATAATAACAACAGATCGAATTTTTAGAAAGTAGAATAGGTTATGAACTAGATAATTTTGGTTTTCATTTTCTAAAGCAAAATAAATAGCAGAAGATAAGGCAAAAAAAGAAAAAAACGAATTTTATATGTGCAACAAAGGAAAAGGTATAAAATACAACACAAAAATAATTAAGACAAAAAAATCGATCAATGTAATAAACACACGCTCACATAAGAAACATCCAAGACTAAAAAGTTTGTGGTTTGCCGGGTAAGATCAGCAGATTAAAATAACCCCTTCTTGGCTTTTCTGAAATAAATAAAATAAGAAAATTGTGAGAAAGACTGAAAAGAAAAATAGATGAGCACATCTGTAAAATTCTCTCTCTCTTATATCTATCTAGAGGGGAACAGCATGGTTTGGCAGTTAGGTTGTTTATCACGTACTTTAAAGATATTGTGTTGACCCGCGGAACCGTCAAGTCATGTAATAACCTTGGGCAAGTTAGTTATGTCATAACGCCTCGAATCACCTGTCCGATAGTATACTTTCTACGTTGTGACGTATAATACAGTTCCTCTGATTAGTTGTCGTGGCTTTTCGGAAAGCTAGTACGTGTTTAGTGAGTATGTATGGAGATCGCAAGCAATTGGACAAAAGAAGAGCTGCAGTTTGATGACTAGTAACGAAATCGGTGATCATGTCAGAAGTTTGTCTACTGCAGCGAAAATATCGGGCTATAGAAACTGACACTTATCAGCATCCTACACAGACAACGGTAGCCGCAAGGCGGAGTATTCTTCCTTCCTTATATCTAAACATACGTTAATGATCCACTTGATTCAAATGTTTTTGAACTTTCATCCCATTCTCGTCGTTGTCTTTCGAATTCTTCTCGTTTAGAACTTAAACGTTCATCCTCTTGTTGTAAACTTTGACGATAGGACTCTTGAGTTTTTAAGACCTATAGTTAAACACATGTTATTTTATCTACAAACAATACATATAGAGAAGCAGCAAACTTACATTTTGTTTACTTTCTTCTAATTTTTGTAATTTTTCTGTTACTTTCGCTTGGTATACAGCTTCCATATCGCGACTCATTTTTTCTAAACGTAATTCTGTTTCAGCACGATCATCTTCTAATTGAGAAAAAAAATTCCTATAAAAATAAAAAAATAAACATTTTAGACTTCATATACGTTTAAACACTGAACATACTTATTCGATTGCAATGATTTGTTTGATCCCGCTTTAGCTGAATCACTACCAGTAGTATTACTACTGGTCGAATGACTTAACTTTTTATAACGATAATTTTCATAGTGAATATTATGAGTAACATCACGCAAATCGTTTAAATTTGTTCTATAAAAAACACGTAGACAAAACGGATAATAGAGATATGAATAGAAGAAAACGAACTTACCGAATAAGCATACTCCTCAATGCAATAAAATCACTGTGTGCTTCATCTTCAACTAAAATGAGGAAAATGGATAAGTTACAATAACATAAAATGTCATTCATGAATTATCATCACTGACCATCTACAACTCCCCATGCGTATTGTCTAACTCTCGCTCGTTTACTTCCTCGTTCCAATATAATGTTACTTCCCACAACTGCAAATGGAACTTTTTCCTACAAAAATAAAAAACATCTTTCTAATGTTTGTTCACTTTCTCAAGATCAAAGGTTACTTTGTATGCTTTTGTTAGTTTATTTTCTTCATCATCGTCACAATCTGGAAACTCATATAATTTAATTTTTTCATTATGAATATCTTGTAATATTGATTTTTTAAATATTCTCAGTTCATCGGATGTCAAAGTATCTGCTTTGGCTATAACTGGAATAATATTAACACGATCATGTAATCGTTTCATAAATTCGATATCAAGTGGCTGAAGACTAAAGTAGATCAGAAGGATATGACAATTAGAGTGTGAAACTTTTATTTATTATTATCAGTTTACCTATGCCCTGTTGGTGAGATAAAATAGAGACAACAGTGTACTCTATTATCGGATATTTGTCGTCGAATAACTCGTGATTCAGCATTTAAAAACTCTTCATATTTTGAATCTATATAATCCAATATTGGTTGCCAACTCAAAATATTATATCTAGTTAGAAGAATCTAAGTATAGTTGTATAGACTTTATTTATTTACCAATTACTATTATCAACAGCATCTCCAAAGCCAGGTGTATCCACAATTGTTAGACGCAATTGGACACCTTTTTCTTTTAAAATAATACTTGATGAATCAATGGACACGGTCTTCTTTTTACGATGAATAGTAGATGGAAAATCTTGACCATATAATTCAGTTTGAAATAGTGTATTGATAAATGTTGATTTACCCAAACCAGATTGACCTAAAAGAAGCAAATAAAAAAAAAAGTTTCTTAAAAAAAAGAAGATGAATGTTCCATTTAATAATGATTTCATGCTCATATAAAAAATCATGATCGCTATATTCATCAAACTTGAGTGATGGATGGCTTTTTGTGTAATATATAACATGGAATTACGTGTATACAATTTTGCTTTAAATACTCTGTTTTGAGAGGAATATTATTCTGACATTGTTTATACTGTAATAGTATCGTATATTTTGTTCAACTAGGCATATATTTTGTAATAATTTATAGAGCATGCACACACACACACACACACACACACACACACACACACACACACACACACAAAAACAAAAAAAAAAAAAAAAAAAAAAAAAAAAAAAAAAAAAAAAAAAAAAAAAAAAAAAAAAAATAAAAAAAAAACAAAAAAAAAACAAAAAAAAAAAAAAAAAAAAAGAAACAAAAAACCAAANAATTTAACATTTTAATACTATAAAAGAAAAATAATTACAAATACAAAAACAAATACACAAACACACACACACACACACACACACACACACACACACACACACACACACATTCATAGAGACAGATAAAAAATTCTGATAATAAAAGCATTAAATTTCTTTCTTTCGATATACAACAAGCATCATTCCTCCAACTGATATATATTCACCACACATCTGAATATAATCATGACATTATTTATAAACATGTATAACCTTTTCGATACAATGACTTGATTTAACTGTTTTTAGTTATTGCTTGACTTACCAATAACCATAAGATTAAATTCAAATCCACGTTTAACAGCACGACGATGTACTTGATCCGGTAGTGATACCTAGGAGAAAAAACAGAAACTAAATATTTGATATGTTGTAAATATTATTTTTCAATACTTACAAATCCTACATTACTGCTAATTTCTCGTATTCTCTGTTGTTGCGGATGTTGAGATTGTTGCTCATGAACGAGAGTTTTCGTAGTCGTTGTTGAATTAGAACTTTCTGATTCTTTTCGTCTAGATTCATCTCTCTGCTGAACTAATCTCGATAGAGTCGAATTGGATGAATAAGCAGGTGGTGGAGGTGGAATTGGTGTTGATGATAATGGGCCATTTTGATTATTTAAAATTGATGGATACAATGTAGATCTATAATCACCGTTCGATGTTGTTGTATGAGATAGTGAACTATGAAGAACGGGTGATTGATGAATTTCTTGAAGAGATGGACGCGACAATCCATTTGTTACATGTACTGATGGTGGTAGAGGAGGAGGAGGCGGCGGAGGAGGAGCACTAGAAGGAGCTGAACTACCATTCAATGACGATGATGTACTTGTAGGTGAAATTAATGATGGCGATGAATCGGTATTATTACCATTTGTTACTGAGGTATGCTGATGAACAGGAGTGATTGTTGTAGTTTTAACAGGTGTTGTGATTGACGATGAGGAACTAGCAGTTGGAGTCGTTGTGCGTAAATAGCTTTCACCACGACGCTAAAAGAACACGAAAAGATAAATAATCGAATAAAAAGACTTATCTTTGGATTTCAGAAAATTTCGCTCATCTTTCGAATAAAAATGCGGCAGTTATTTGTTACGTACAATGGTGTATTCATACATTCTAACGGTAAAATTTTGTTTTATAATCAATGAAACTCTGTTGTTTTATTAACTGTAACAACGTCTATTGTTATTGTTGTTGTTTCTTAGATAACGATAAAAGAAATTCTATTTTTTAGGCTTTCTTTTTATTGTTGAAATGTGTAGTGTGGGTTATAACATATGTTGTTAAGAGTGTTATGTTTCTGTGTATGTGTCAATCACTCTACATTGAACATACATATTTCTAACAGTATCGATCACAGTCTAATGATGACACAATTGAAAATAGATAAATATAGATCATACGATGCTTCATAAACAAGGTTTGATAAATAATAATGTTTTATTTCAAGTAGTGTTTCTAAGAACTAGTAACAGTACAATCAATTCGAAATAGAAAAAATTTTATTTTCTCACAAAATTAATCTGTACTTATTGTCTATTATGTATATAGTTTTTTCTCTTATATATCTCATATACAGTTGGTCAATTGAAACAAACGTACTGATGTCAATCATTACTATTTGAAAATAGTCATTACCATCAAGACTGACCATTGTCTATCTGTTACCTTAACAACTGTAACACAAGATTGAAAATAACAGATATTTCTCTAATTGAAACATTTTACCAAGACTTGTGAACTCAAGGTTCATGCACAATTCTTTAATTCTTAATATGTATCACATTTTATTTAGCCCTCTTCTTTTCTGTAAAATGATTTATTATTTATAGAACCGTTTTCTTTTTAACTAGAATAATCTACTTATAAAAAATCTCATTTTCTTTTCAGTAATACTAACGCACTTAGCTATTCGTTTTGCTCTATTAAGAAATTTAAATTGATCAACATCTCTAGCTGATGTTTCGCGTACACCATTGAGAGTGGTCATATTATATTTGTTACAATTCTTAACAAAACAAACAATAGAAAACTTTGAGAACATCCTCTCTATATACAACAACAACAACAACAACAGATAAACAAATTGCCGTGTTCTAAAGTTTCGTCAATGTAAATACATACTAATCGTCGTGGTGTAGTTATTTCAAATGTTTTATATTGTTGAAATTGTGATGTGGCCATTACAAAAACTTTACTCAATTAATTAATTAATAACTATAAAGTTTTTTATTACTAGAAAAAAGAAAAAATCATTCTCATTCTCTTTTCGTTTCTATCCCAGATAGAAATATGACTTATACACACGCCCGTTATACACTATAAATGAGAGATCTAATGTCCATCTTCGACGTTCTTTTTCTCTTTTCTTTCTTCATTCAAGGCCTAAACAGACTTGGATTGTTGAACTTCGGGTATTGTACATACACAGACATATACACACACACGCGTACACTCAAAGATATACACTACTTCCTCTTTTCTTTTCTGTATTTTTTTTTTTTTTTTGAAAATCTTTCTCACGTTCTGACATGTAACAATCAGAATACATCAAAAATACAACTTGATGACCGATGGAAGAAACAAGCAAAATTATCTTCTTCTTTTTTTAACATGGTAAAAATGAAATTAGTACTATAGAAGAAAAACATAATAAAAGAGGTCAATAATAATGAAACAAAGAGATAGAAAAAAAAGAAAACGATAATGTCCTTCATATTTGAATAATGAAAAAAAAATTCCTCTTTTCTCCATGCACCATTATAACCAAACAAATTATTCAAAAAAAAAAAGATTACAATTGTTTCTCTTTTCTGACTTTTAACTATCTTTTGTGTAGTTAAAATTACAAATTTTAATATTAATCTCTCGAATCATGTGTCCCGTCTGCTATTTGAATGAAATCAAGTCTAATTTTATCTATTATTTTTTATTTGTTTTCTTCAAACACTATCCAATACAGTGACTAACAAAATTATGTGTGACGTTTCACAGCTGAATATTGATCAAAGCCCCACTTCTATTTTTTATCCATAAAACTGTAGGCAAATGATAAGACTGCTCGTTTTCTTCTTCTTTGTTGTTTTTTTTTTTGATTGAACTTGTTAAGTATCGATGAATAAATGATTGATCGATAATATATTCTCATACAAGAAACTCGCATAACAATAATCGTTATTACATGATAGAGAGAGAGAGAGAGAGAGAGGGTTAAAGTGAGAGCAAAAAAAGTGAGAAAAACTAATTAATATCACTAAAGGATGATAACATGTCTTGTTGTATAAACGTATAGATAGAAAAAGAATTATGAGCATATCTAATAACTATCAATAAGCAATAAAAAAAGGGCAGAGAAATAATTTTATACCAAACATAAATCTCAAACACATGCCGAGAATGAACTATTAATAGCCATATTGAGCAACATTAACAGATCAACCGTTGAGAACATGACAATGAAGAAGAAATGAAATATTTTTCATAATACACAGATAACTCAATTCAAATGATAATTCGATTATTGTTTCTCATAGTCTGAGACTTTTCATCGTTTAAAAAGTATCTACTACTATTTTTATTTTATTTTCAATTTTTCTTCTATAATCTATAATTGTTCATTTTTGACTAGTTTTTCGAACTACATCGTTCGAGAACATAATCATCATACTTTTGCATAAGCTTTTCTTTACTTCTAAAACCAAAAAAGAAAGTTCTTTTCATTTTATTGCTTCATAGACACTATATCTCATTCACCTCTTTTATTTCAGATACACTCATTGTATATGAAAAACAGTATTAATGACAATACACATGTTTATCTTAAAAAAAAAATAACAACAACAGGAAAATATTACTGCTTATGTATTGCCTAAATCTATTGATATGATCCTTAAAATATATAAGATCGCTTGACAATTCGTATCTTATATGTTTAATGGATTAGAATACTCATCTATCTTATTTTTAAAATTTATTTAGTTAAGTACAATATTAAGCGTGTTTTGCAAGTGTATATCGATGATCATCTAACGTACTACTTGAAACTAACATTTATCAACGCTAGATATCATCACTGTCATAAAAGACAACACTCACCAAGACAACTTTTGTCGATGATGTATAATAGGATGACATTCTTTTCAAACCATCATATTATACACACACAAAAAAAAAGAAGCAAAATACAATATCACAACTAAATTATATCCGGTATCATATGGCGTCAATTTTACTTTAAACTATTTTCCATGTTGTGATTTTAACAAAAAAAAAATGAATATTTGCTCAATTGCTGTACATGTCTAACTGTACAACTATTTGTAGTTTTTTTTTTCTTTTTGTCTTACACAATCTGTATCTATGAGCGACAACAAAAAAAAAAAAAATCTGTCTTAGTTCAAGAATATAACAAGAAAAAAGTGAATATATTCAATCAGTACACTATAAAATATCCCTTCTTCTCCCAGAAAATGATGTATAACAAGTAAAATATCTTATACTTGTCTAAAAGTGATATTATTTGTTAAAGAACAATTTTCAAAATATTCCATTTTTAAAATTTTAAACAAATTGATATTTTTGAAGAATAAATGTTCAAATCGACGTTCTCATTTATATCTTGAGAAAATTTAGATATTTCTAATTTGATCAAACAGATGGGTATTCGTTCAACATTTTTCATTTAGAAAACAAAAAAAAAAAAACGAATATTAAAATTCCTTTTTTTTTAATACCTACATCATCATTATTAATCGAATCAACTGATTTTGTCCTTTTACTCCAAAAATATTTTTTCTTCATTATCATTAACTGATTAACATTTTTTTTTTCTTCTGTATAGAGACGTCTTATTTTATTTTTTATTCATTACATTTTGTTGTTTTTTTTTACTAAATTTTTTTTCCAACATCAACGAAAAGAGACAATATTTTAACAATGACATCAAACATCAAAAAGTGTGTATTATCATAAAATAGTTTTTAAAAGTCAAAAATACATCTTGAACAAATGTCCTCAAAAAAAAATATACGTACACATAAGGTAGAAAGAGAGAGGCTTCATTTTTTCGAATACAATAATAAATCTTTATGTCAACAAAACACATTTCAGTTTATTTTCATTAATGAAACACTTGACTTTTTAATAGTCAGGAATTTCTATACAAAGAAGGAAATTGATACACTGACCTCATATCAAATAATTATTTTATGATTAATACAATGTTTACACATATTTTAAATATAATTCTGATAGTATCATTCGTTATCATTTTAAATTTTGAATCTGGAGTAGAAGAAAAAAACAAAACAATAACTTATTTTTCATTCATTGTGTATCTATATTAAAAAATAAGTGAAAACACAAGTGTACAAATGAGTAATTATTTAATCATAAAAATTATTTCTATTTAAAAATAGAACAAATTTTTTTTCTTTTTTTTTTTTTTGTTATCAATGATCAACTATTTTTTTATTATTATTTCATACGTGCAGACCTGTTGTCTAACTTGTGTCATTCTCGTTGATGGTATACGTAACGCCATTCGTTCAAATTTAAATATAAAACAGTAACAATAATGTTGTTGTTTTTATTATTTCTTTGTCTTTTATTTTTTATTTTTTTTTGTTTTATTTTTATAAAAATAATAAAACAGACAAATGCCAATAGATCATTAAATAGCACAATTTCGATGGATATTACGCTTCTCGGTACCGTTTTAATAGAAAATGTTTACAACAGAAAATAAAGAAAAACGACAAAAATATTGATAGTTTTATTTTTTATTTTTTGTATTTTTGACGTTTTTATTTTCAAATTTTATAGACGATGATGATAATGTTCAAATTTGTTTAATAAAATAATAACATTATGAATTAATTAAGAACTATGAATAGTTAAATCATCGAGAAGCATAAATAAAAATTCAAAAAAGACAAACAACAACAAAAAAAACAACACGATATTAGTACGACAACGAACTAAGAAGAAAAAACGTTTTTGAATTGGTCGTTTTTTCCCATTTTTTTTTTCAATTTACGTCTTTTTTTTGGTCTATCGAAAAAAAAAAAAAAAAAGAAGAAATTCTCTAGTTTATTTTATATATTCCATTCAAGTGAAGGTTATCAATCAAATTTGATACACTTTATGAATGAATAAAAATAGTGATTGGCGAAAGAGTGAGAGTATAGCACTTTATTAGTAAAAAAAAAATAAACGAAATGAAAAGAATTTGGTTTTTCGATTCTCGTTAAAATGGTGAATAGAACAATGAATGAGTAAGAAGTGATAATGATGAGTATTAAAGGTCTTAATTAGAAAGACTAATATAAACAAATAAAACCGTAAAAGTGAAAATGTTTTTGTTCTCTAAACAATACTCTATCTTAACAATGGAAAAACGTAAAATAAAAATGTTTGAAAAATTTGTCATATATTCAATGATATTTTTTGTTTTTTTTAAAAAACAGGGTAAATTCTTCAATAATAATGGTAAATTTAGATATAATTTTAATAGTATACAAAAAAAAAAAAACTGAATAATATGGATCTCTTTGATATATTGGAAAGTAAGAGCATTAAGACGAGTCAATCAAACACACGATTTAAACTTTTCTTCTTCACTTCTTTTATTGATTTACAACATCATCAACTACCTCTGTATATGGTAGTTACATTTTATGAATACAAAATAAATTTTTCAAATAGTAAAAATAATAAAGGAAGGATGGGGAGAGCGAGAGGGAATAGTGACTGTATACATAATAAAAAATGAAATTATTATAAACAAAGAATGATATGAAATTCAAAAGATTAGTTGAAGGTTATTGATCTTCTCTCATTTCATTCAATATATATATATATACACACATAGTGGTCATGTTATTTGACGCCATCAACAACACATACCATTTCATCATCAGAAAATTAAAATTAAAATTAAAAATATAAAATAAAATAAAATGACAACAATATTTATGTTAGAATAAGATTTTCTAGCATAAAACTTTCTTTTTTTTTTTTTTAATAATAAATAAATTATTTCTATATCTCAATGTGTCTGGAGAGATGATATTTCTTATCAACTTTCAAAAATGAGATAACATTATATAAAATGATTTTATTTCTATTAAAATGACATATAGTTATTCATTCATTTACAAAATAGTCTCTTATGTTAAATGTTCATTCAATGTTATCTCTTTTTCGTCCTTTTTTATAAATAAATGCCACAATCATCCCTTGATATGAACTAATCATTTTTATATCCTATAAAATGTTGATTGATTGATCGACAGCAACACAACAGGTTACATATACTAGAATAATATATCATAAATCAAATGGATTTAATAACAACAAATAGATGTAAATGGATATGTTAGTATACGAAAAGAATATCAAACAAAATAGTGTGTTTCAGCATAAAAGAACAAATTGGAATGTGAAAAACCGAAGATATTTAGAAATAGAATATGTATTAATAAATGTCATGATTATTGACATATTCTTTAAATATTTTCTCCTAGTATTCTCATCCCTATTATAAAGAAATTAAAATTATTTTGATTAGTTATTTAAAGTTAAAAAAAAAACTGATCAATATTTTTGTTTACGTAATTAAAATTAATGAATTTATCTATTCAAATTTTTACATAGAACAAACAAAAAAAAAATTAAAAATAATTTTATTTAAACAATTTTAACTTACATATTTTGATGATAAATAACATTGTGGATCTAATGCACTATTGGTCATTGTACTATTTGTTATTGTTCCATTTGATATTGATTTTAATCCATAATCTGTTGATGTTGATGTTGTTGTTAAATTTTTATATTTATTTATAACAGAATTATAACGATTAGTCGACGAATAAGATAATAAATTTTCAATAGCTCCAATACCATTTTTAGTTACAGGTGTCATTGATGATGTTGTAGTAGAAGAGAGAGAATCTAAATCTCCATTTAAATGAGAATTATAACGATGTTTTGGTGTTGGTGATTTTGTTGGACTTTCTAATGACATTTTTAAAAGATAGATAAAATAATTTTAATTAGATATATAATTAACATAACAAAAATATGATCTAAAAATCAAAGATAATATTTATAATAGGGAGACAAATATTATTTCTCAATTTCAATATGATTTTATTACTGACAAATAACAATAAAAAAATTTTCTAAGAAAAAAAAAAAAAGATTTAATTTTTATATTTTCAAAGTCAAATAACGTTTATATTTTCAATCATTAAAACACACACATACACACAATAGACAATTTTAATCTCCATCTTCTTAATATCATCCTCGTTATGTAATAATTGATTATTGACGCTTTTCTATTATTCTCATTTGAACAATGATGAACTGTATCAAGTTTATAAAAAGAAAAGAAATAAAAGAAAATACGATTGTCTAAGTGTATACATACGTATTAGCGTATTGTTACGAGAAGAAGACGAAGAAAAGAAAAAATAAATGTGTGAAATAAAAGAACAAAGTTTAATGTTCAATTTCAATAACGACTTTTTTTGGAGAGAGTTGCGAGAAAGAAAACGAATTTTTATTATTAGAAAAAACAACAACAGTAGATTGTCAGTTGCAAGTAAAACAAAAAAAACTTTCCATTTGAACATGGCAAGCTTTTTTATATGCACTATTTTTCTTCTAGAAGTCACCAATACATTTTTGTTTTGTTTTTTTAATATTTCAATGTGTATTTGCAACATTATTTAATTTCATATGTATTTCTATTTCAGTATCTTATAGAATATCAATTGTATCATCCAATTCTCGACAAAATCTCATTGAATATATTGTAAAAAAATATGACACTCAATTTTATAGAGATCAAATAATGACATTGAATAAATTGAATTTATTTCTTAATCATTTATTTCTAATATCGAATATAACTGGTTAAAAATATTTAAACTTTGACTTTCAAGAGACACAAGCAATACTTTCAAACAATGCATAAATTGTGAGAGATATAACATCAATTCACTTGGTTACCTAAAAATTGCTACTCATTTCGAATAATTTACAGATTAGATGGATTTTCTTTTGCACGATAGCAACGCAACACACGACGATATCATTTTTGTAATTAAAAAAACACTTACATGAAATAAGATCAATTGAACAATAGATATGTTAACTTTTGTTTTGTAAAATTTTGAAAAAAATCAGATTAGTCAGTGCGAAAGAAAGTTGCAGTAATCAATAAAGTTTTTCAAGTATGAGACAATCAATTGTATGTTTATTGTTAGTGGACTTATTTCTTTGACTATCAAGTAGAATGAAATAGAAACAAAAAAATTGACTTCAGTAGGTCACACAATACTTGATCTTTGACAATATGAACTCATGTTGCTGTGCTAAAATATATTCAACAAGATTTTGTAGAGAATTGAATAATTTACATCTTTTGACATAGAAAATTAACATTCTACAAACTATTAAAGTAGATATATATATATATGTATGTGAAACAAAGAATGTTGAAGACACACATTATTGAAAACACGAGAAGAGCACCTCTCTATTAATGTCTCTCTTTTCTTATCTTCTAAATGCTGTACTATTATCATCATCATCATCATTACGTAATAATAAAAATGATAAAAGTCAAAAGAATTCGAATGATTGATTTTTATGTTCGAAAGTTTTTTGTGTTCAAAAGAAAATTGAGAAATATCAAATTGAATTAGATAAAAAAAAGAAACAAATATAAGAAATAAATTAAAAATAAGTTTATCATACATTTTTATTTAGTATTAGAATAAGAAAAAATTGAAAGTGAAAATTGCCACAAATCGTTTAAACAAGTTTAAAGTGAATATTTATTTACTATAACGTTTGTGGTTATTAAAAAATTTTTTTTGACTAAGCAAAGTAAAGTTCTAGGTCGACCTACTAAAGAAAACATCTTTTTTTTTTGTATCCGGTAGCAATCACACACACACACACATTTAATTTTAAACTTACAGTTTATTGTATGTACTTACCCATCGTGTGTACAAATGTTTGTTTTTAAATACTAGTACCTTTTTTAAAGTAGGCTTAGTTTATTCTATAGAAGTTTATTCTATTATTCTTTCTGATATATTCCAGATGTAAATGTATAATTGAGAACAGTGATGAGATGTGCATGAAAGATAATTTTCCTAATTCTAATTCTACCAACCGTACAAGGTCATATTCTCTATTCATCATCATTAGAATAACAAAACGATTCATTTCTATATATGTTGCTTATTTTAATACGATTATCATTTTCTTTCGTTTTTTTTTGTTTTTTATGAACACTTTTTGGTTTCAATCGATATAGATCAATCGCTGTAGGTCATTTATAACAACAATAACAGATACCACATCGTTCAATCATTATTAAGAAAAAACTGTACTAATAGCTTTAACGATAATGATAATTTACTCAACAACACATTCTATTTAGTACTCAATCATTTTTCACAAATTTGAATACATTTCATATGATGATAAAAATCAAATTAGATTTAACGATTTTTAATATAAAAATCAAAAATAATCTACGGATAAGAATAAATATCTCATAGTTTTTTCAAATAAATATCGAAAAAATGGATTTTTTCTTACAGAGAAATTTGAAAATAGAAACTTTAATATTTAATATGAAATGAGAATACAGAACATAAATAATGAAAAAGAACTTTTAAATTAACATTGACATACGTAGTAACTATATACAATTCTTTATTTGTCTCATTTTAGATAAGTTAAAGTGATGAACTATATTTTTTTGTTTTTCAATCGTTCATGATCAAACGAAGTCATATACTTTACTTCTAGGAAAATAATTAAAAACAAAATCATCTAGCTTAATTTAATCACACATAGAATTCTAATTCATTCATTTCACTGTCTGATATAAAAAAACAAATTTTTTTTGTATAAAACGCAAAATAGTATCATGTCTTAGCTGTTGTTGTTCGTTATTTTCAAGATGACCTACACACATAACTTACTTTTGAATACACATACATACGGTTTCATTTTCAAAACAAGATTTGTTTAAAATATATAACAGATTGAAACTAGAAAAAAGTTTTTACAGATGATGAACTTGTAAAAGAGAATGCCCTGTGTATTTTCTTCTTCCATTTTTGTTCAATAATCATGAATTATCCGTTCTTTGTATGCGGTCACGCACATACACACTTTTCTCGTTCTCTTCTCTCTTCAACAGATGATACAACAATCGGAATAAATAAAGTTCACGTACAGAGAGAGAGAGAGAGAGAGCGAGAAGAAATATAAATGGCCATAAGTAGTAAAATCTGTTAAAAGCTCATAGCAAAAACAGGACTTATTGTCAATAAATGCAAATAAATAAATAAACTGAGAATAAACGGTATAAGCAATACGCAAGACAATATTTTCACATTTTTTAATACATTCAAATAATATCAAGTTAAGATCGATAAAAATCATACCTTAGTGATGAAATAGCATCGAACATCACTATTGAGTTTAAATTAAAATAGTTATAACTATTTTTAACCATTAGACGAAATAATGGGGAAACTTTTCAAACAAATTTTGAGAATTAGAGCAGCTGAGTAAAATGAGATCATTTCGTATTTTATTCACGATATTTCGACCTTAACTGGTCATTATCAAGTGACAAGTAAACTGTGAATGATCTAAAATTTTATCTAAAAAACAGAATAAAAAACTCAATTGAATTCCTTGTACAAAACTGAACCTAGCCAGAGTATTTTTAAGCCTTTAAAGCTAAAAGTGCAAGTTTGTCAGAGTCCAAAACGTTAAAGGTTGATTTTTGAGGACCTCTGTTTACAGTCGGATAGGCTAGAAATACACATCAGTCGACTCAGTTTTTGACCCTGGTTCTGAATATGATATTTTTATTGCTCAAAAGTTGAGTTTTGATCGAGAAAATTGAGAATTACGGACAGAAGTTCGGCTTTTTCGCCTCTGATTTCAAAAAAATGAACCTTCTCAGCAATGAAACAAAATTTAAAAAAGCTCTACATACTTTTAAAGCTCGTTTGATGGCCGATCTAACCAGGTGTGAATCAAAGGTCTAGTTCTTTACACAAAAACGAGTAGGATTTGTAAACATAGGTCCTCGAGAATCGACCTTTAAACGTTCGGGACTCTGACAACTTTTTTCAAAGTTGTCAACTTTCTGACTTTTAGCTTTAAAGGCTTAAAAATACTCTGGTTAGGTTCAGTTTTGAACAAGGAATTCAAATATAGAAAGCTCGAGTCTCAAAACCATGAAGGGAAAAAACTATGAAACCTTTTTCAAAAAATAAAAGTATGGAGTATTTTTTCTCCCACGCCACCTTTCCTGGGTTAATCACCGTTTGAATTTAGTAAATATAAGATAGAAAGTTGCATAGATGGGCGAGTCGTTTTTTTTTTTCTATGACTCGCACTCGAGGTGAAAGACTCGATAAACGGACTCGAGTCAGCCATATGCATCTTGAGATTGTTATGATGGTGTTTATTATATGTTGTATACCAGAAGAAAGAGAGATTCGAGAATATTCTAAGCAGAACATCGCGTCACTAAAGATCTGTTCCAGGTCTTTACCTGTCATTGAAGATCTGTTCCAGGTCTTCACCTGTCATTGAAGACCTGTTCTTAGAAAAATGAATCACGGGAAGTTTTCCTCTAGAAAATGACTCCAGTCAATTTTTGATGTGATTCGGACTAGGATCTCAACTCGAAGACTACTGACTCGAATTCGACTCAGATTTGAAAAGTGGTGACATCTATGGAAAGTTGTACATGAAAGAAGGGAGACTAACTGATTGAATACGAAGATATATTATATTTTCCAACTATCTTATTTTTATTCTATTCTATTCGGAAAGTGGCTGTCAGGTAAAATTAATTTACTTACACCATCCACATATAAATATAGTGGGCTCGATCGATTGGTATCGTTCAGAGCTGGTTATGTAGCTCGGATGACTATTGATTTCTTAATTAACATTTTATGTGTTTTT